ATCATTGTTTATGCCATGGCATGTTTAACAACAATTACTTTGTATTATTTTGTGATGTTGTCAACCTATAAATTTAAGAAGATTGGACAATAATAATAGTATAAATGTGGAAGTTCCTTCACTAATTGGATGGAGGTATTTTATATAATAATGTTAATCAAGATTAATAGAATTTGATATTAACATCTTTAAAATATTTAAATATTTTTTAAAATTTATTAAGAATATAATTTTAATAAGTTAGATTTTAATTTTAAAATATTTAAATTTTATTAAAATTTTTATTAAACTTTATTAAAAATAGTTTTATTATTTTGAAAGATCACTATAGAAAATTAGTTTTAAGATTTGAAGGTTTTTGAAGACAAATAAGTGTTTTTGAATACCATGGTGGAATCAAAATTGTAGAAAAATGTGTTTTACAAATAGAAACTCAAGTGACTAGCATATTTAATAGTAGTTGTAAAAAAAGAGGTATATATGTTTCATTTGGTTTGTAGCACTTTAGATTTAAGTAGGGAGATACGACTAATATTTTAGGGTCCCTATAGATTACTCTAGACACCATTTGTGGACCTTGATGAGGCACAAATCCTTGACCATTTATTTATGTTATTCTTACAATAAATTCCAATTAGCTAATTTTCCTATGATTTTCTATTTATTTTTAAATCCTCATAATTTACTCATAAAAACTTAGATTTTTATATTTTTTATATATTAAATAAAATAATCATCTACAAAAAATAAATAAATGAATAAATCTATTATATTATATTTTTAATGTGTAAAAATTTAATGAACATATTGTGATTAATTTTGGAATGTATATTTGTTTAATTGTCTTTCTTTCACTTGTTTTGTCTTTTCTTTTCTTTTTTTATATTAAATGTGTTTTTTTATTTATTAATATTAATTATAAAAAAATTACAATAAATTCTAAATTATAAACCCTAAATCATAAAATATGATTATATTTAGGTACTTCAATGTCTCCAATAAGTCGAATTTTTCACTCAATGTGGTGGACCTCCATTGGATGGAGATCAACACCAAGAGCAACCTGATTCCAAGCCGTCTCAGAGCTAAGAGGTCTCATGTCCATTTCTAGTGCATTTTCCATGTGGAGTTGTAACTTCACAAAACCTTCTATTTATGATTTTAGAAATAACCAAATTGCTTCTTATTTTACGTGAATTCTTTGCTGAATTCTGCTTTGACTCATCTGTTGATATCACATGTTCTCATTTTAATATCTAAAGATATGAGTCAAGTTCATTGACACATCATCATTCTTTCCAATCATTCATTTATTAGTGTGAAAGCATCCCATCGATCTCGGTTTGCAACCAAGAAGCTGCTGCAGACACCTAATTTTGGTTTTTTATACAAAATTTGCACTATTTGTAAAATTTCTCCTACTATGGAAGAAAGAACATTAACTTTGGAGCATAGAACATGCCTTATTAAATTAAATGATCAAACTTCAAGAGATTTAGTCTCTCAAATAATTTATTCAATTAATCCATAATTTATTTTTTATTTTATTTTATTTTATTTTATTTTTATTTTTTAAAAAAAATTGATTTATTAAGTGTATTATGTTATATGTACATTTTTCAATAAGAAAATAATTTTGTATCTAATCACATAAAAGATTGATATTAGAGTGTGTTTGAGGTGGTCCAATGGCATAAAACATATCAAGTTGCAAAAAATAAGGTAGAAAAAAATTGGCAAAAAGATCGGTTTTAGGTTGTGGAAATTAGAGGTAAAAGTTTTGTTTGTATAGTAAGAATCGTAAAATTTTATGGATCAATAGTCTAAAATAAAAGATAAATAAATAAAATATAAAAAACTCTTGCAAAGGAATTTTTTGTGAGTTAACAAGTACTAATACTAAATGAGAAGATAAAAATAAAACCTTACTTTAAAAGTTTGTTTAAAAATTGGTTATTATTTTTAGTTAATCTATTGAATTAAAAAAATTATCAACAAATAAGATTTTACATCTCAAAGCATGATTTATAAAAGATATAAGAATAGATAGAGATGTAATACATAAAAGCTTGGATTAAAAATCTATAACTTGATTTGATAAGTTAAAGATTAAATATTATAAATATATAAAAATTAGAATTTTCTGATAACTTATTATCAGGAAATATAAACATATATATAAATAATAAATTATGTCAAGAAAATTTAATTATCTAGATTTTTATATTTTTATAAACAAATTATAAAGTTTTTCATTACAACCTCAAGAATTGATAAATTTTGGGTTGTATAGATCATTAATATTAGCAATTTATATCGTGTGATTTTCAAAATAGCTGACTTTGTACTTACACATTTATAACAAATCACATGTGGTATTAAAATATTTGGTTTTATTCTTTTACATTAGTAACCAATTACATGATAAAGAATGACATTGCAGAGTGTATAGTATGATACAATTTGCATTGAATCAATAAATAACAGTTTTAAAATATTAATTAATATATGGTATATTTCAAAGTATAATTAATATTATCTTTTAGATGTATTAGAGTTCTTTTTTTAAATAGAGGGAAAATGTTGAAGTTTTTAAATTTTTTGACGAATTTATTTACAAATAAAGAATACAAATATAATAAAATTTTATAATTTTTGAAAAGATATTTAAATAATTAGAGTTGTTGAATATGTTCATAAAACAAAATTTAAGAGACCTAATCTAATTGTTGCATAGACAATTTAAAAACACAAATATTGAAAGATTTTTAAAATTATACAATGATTTTTAAAGAAGTTCTTGAGAATGCAAGGGATTGAGCTCTTGATTGTGCGAGAGTACTTGTTTGAGCAGATAATTATACAAAATTCTTATTTTCTTTCATAAATATAAGAATAGTCTCAAATTTGAGCACATAGATGTACATACCTAGTTAATCAATCAAAGTACAATTTTTAAGATTAGAATTGTGTAGAATTACAAAAATATGGTAATTTAAAAGTTAATCAAAGTAAAAATGTAAAGCTTGAGAATAGAATTCAATTTGTACAATTTTTATGAATTAAACTTTATTTTTAAGGATAACTTAAATTTTTTATATCAAGCAAAAAAGATAGAAGGATTTTAAGTTTAAAAAGATTTGAAAAAAGACATATGGTTATTTTATCTTGGATAAATTTATATAAATGCATTTAAAATAGAGTAGAATACCTCAATAGGATTTACATGGCATTGTAGTTTAGAAAAAGTTTATTAAAAAAAATATTAGAATTGTTAGTTTAACATTAAGATATTTGAGCAATATTTGCTAAAGTAAAATAAAGACATCAATAGAAGGGAATTTATAAGGCAACAATTATTGTTTTAAGTTGAAGTGAAACCTACTAAATATACTTATATATACAACATTAAAATAGATTAAACTTGCCTTATCTTTTATCAATTATTTATTAAAAAAATAATTAATTTGGTTGTAATATCAATGGACTTTTACAAAAAAAAAAATGTGTAATGTATAAATATACTGTTTTTCAAATGTAATATCTTTCAATGTATTATAATTATCATTGCAAAGAAAAGTTGGATTTGAGAAATATAAAGAAATTAATTGATTATTACGAAATACAAAGAAATTAAAGAATCTTAAATCAAGATTAGAATATAAAAAAGGTGTTGACGCGATTGAAGATAGTCTCACTCTTTCTTCTATATATACTAACTAAAAAGGTTTTGTGGAAGTTTCTTGAAGACCACAAGGATTATGGCCCAAATTTTAGGTTATAGATTGCTTCCAATGCAGCTTCATAAAAGTATTTAACTTGTAGAAAAAATTTCAATAGCTATTTGGCAATCTATAAGAATTTAAAAAATCAAATCCAAATTTGAGTAACTTCTTTGAAATTTCTTATGAAATATATTATCTTTCTAATATATTTCTATTTATTTCTACATACTTAAGCACTACAAGCATTTTTTACAAATTGTATTCTTAAAAAAATATGAGAATTGATGATAATAAAGATAATAAAGACTTTTGTAAAAATAAAAAATAAAAAATAAAAAAATCTTGATTTTGTTGTCTTTCTCCTATTGCTATATTGTCTTTATTCATAAATTAGAAGTGTTAAAAAAAAATAGAATTTAAAAAAAAATCAAAAAAAATCAAAAATATATATAACCAAAAAAATTTTTAGTTGCTTTGGCCCCATTGACATCTATTTTTTTTATTTAGTCAAGATTTTTCCAATTCTAAATCTAAATTCCCTCCCAAAATTACTAAAAATATAAAAATTAAAATATCAATTTTTTTTCGTTAAAAAATTATAGAATTATTTTATATGTGTTTTTTTTCTTTAATTTTCACATTTTTCAAATAAAGTTTTTACATATGTTTTGTTCCTTTGAAAAAAGATATTAAAAGTGAAAACAAAGGCTCAAGCTACAAGCAAATCCCAAATTGCTATTCAAACACCCATTATGCCTATACACACATCCAAAACTGTCCTAAACCTCTCTTCTTCATCCCAGCATGGATCGCAATCTGCTCTTCTTTGTCTTAGTGCAAGTCATGGACAAGGAAGGAGTTTGAGACTTGCACCAGGACAAGAAAGCAGAGATCTAGAACAACTAATCAGAGACCTTGGGTGTGTATAATGTGTGTGTAGCAATCTAGGGTGTGCTTATAACCAAAATCAAAAGCCACATCTTAGGATTTCATAAAATAAAAAATGCAAGGTTTGAAAACTGATTGTATGAAAATGCCAAGTAAATTCAACCTTGAAGACAACTTTTCAAGTTTTAAAAAAAAAATTAAAAATATCTGTAATCAACATCTTTTTAAATTACAATTTTTTTAAAAATAAATTATACATGAAATAAATTTAAAGTTGTAAAAATATTTTCTTAATTGCATCATCTGGAGTCTTTTATCCACTGTAGAATCTTGCTTCTCCAGATATGATGCAAGCAAACTCTTGCAGTATCCCCACACAAGCAAAACTCATTGCAATGTAAATTTGAGAAAGTGCAGTCATTAATACAGCTGCGAAAACAGAACAGAAGAAAAACTGTCATCTGGAGGCAGTTTGCTTGAGACGAATCCTAGACCTAAAGGACTACCACCTTAGACATCGCACTGCAGGTTATCTAGGCTAACGGAAGAATGACTACCTACTTAGTGAATGGCACATCTAAGTACTAGTGTTGGCACGGTTACCAGCCAAAATAAGCGAAATCTCAAGGCCTCGACTGAATGCTTGGTTGAAGACAAGCCGCGTCTGGAAAGTGGAGAAGAAGGGGAACCAAGAAAACAGGGCAATGGGAATGAAGATTATTATGCCCATGAATGCGTCATACATACGGGCAATCTCTCGCACGGAATCCCAAACTCCAATGTACTGCACCAGAGGTTGAAATAAGATGGCAATCTGCACACACCAATGAGAGTAAATCAAAGGATTGACAAAAATTCTTTTTAAGGGTCATGAATTATTAAGACTGTCAACCGTGAGTGATAAGTACAGAAGCCAAGTCATGAATAAGTAAAGAAACTTACAGAGATAAGGCCCCAACCAGTGGGAACAATCCCAAGAGCCAGAGCAAATACATCAGTGATGGATAGAGGAGAGAAAATGATGGCCAAAATCCCCCCCGTAATCAAGCCCAATAAGAGTGCCGCTTGAAACAGGCGCACGGCAAGGTGAAGGGTAGCTCTCTTGGAGGAAGCTTTCTGACTGATGGTGAACACCTACATCCCAAAAGTCCAGCTGTAAATTTTCAATCAAACCCCATGCCCAGTGTCTTAACAAAAGTAGAGAAAATGGACGTGGTTTGGCATGATTGAAATTTTAAACAATTCGTTAATGGCTGCGGAATGCTTAAGATCTCTATTTTCAAACACAAAATATATATATATATATATATGACGCATTTGACGTCTCATCTTCACTCTGATTAGAATAAAGGACAGAAAAGTACCTTGAAAATCAGCACGCACACAAACAGCAATATCCAAGAGTAAACATACACCTGCAATACGAGGAATGTCATAAAACAGGACGTTCAGATTTGTAAAAATAAATTTAATCAAGTTGTCGGCAATATCGGGCAAGCCTTGATCTGCTGAACATCCATTGAGTTTATTCGTATAAAGCATTAGGGGTCAAAAGAAGTCGCGCAAATCTAAATTATCCAGTCGAAAAAAAAGCATGTACTCTCTAGAAGTACATACCAATATGCTGGTGCTTCCTTGGATCACGTCGAGTTGATAAGAGACACCATACTGGAAAAAGAAAAATCGTAAACATAAAATAAATTCCCAAAATTTGCCGCCAGCTGTGCGAAGATGGGCCTGGATAATCAATCACACATTGTATTCAGTTATTCTAATCAGCGGCAAATATACATTTCACCAGTGCTCTGCTATCAAATTCAAAATCATCATAATGAAAATGTACCGACCAAATGGTCAACACCATCAGGGTGTGTAAGCTTTTTGACTACAAACTACGGAATTTGCTTGTGGGCAACTTTTCACCTGCTCTTCAGCCCACCAAGCTTCCCAACTGTTGTCACTCGTGACACCAACACCTCCTTTGTACATTATCCAGTTCGTCCAGTCCTCAAAATCGTCCACGGTTCTGTGTCAGGTTTCAATGTTACGTAGATCAGAATATAGTGATAATGAGACATCCTCTGCAGAACTAAGATTTTGCGCATGGAATCTTTTATAAATATCCTTTCGTTAAAATAATAAATAAATAAAAGACTATTGGAAAAGAAATCAATTCGTGTTCAACAAAAGACAATCTACGTTACAACGCTTACTTTTGCCACTCGAAACCTGATGGATTGAAAATATATGGCGCGTAAAGCCATGAAAGAGCTAAGAACCAGGAACTGAAAGTGAGCAGAATGTATGTGGCTGATGTCCGATTCTGAGCTCCATACGCTAAATAGACAACCAACAGCATGACGATCTCAAACCTGCAAATGAAACAAAAATTATATAAAACTACAACAGCAGAATAAAGTCTTCCGACCGTGAATGTATTCTGTAATTTAAGACAACAACAAAGTAATACCAACTTGTTAAACTGGTACAATATAATCACGAAAGCTGGAGTTTCTTCAGACTTGAACTACAAAAAAAAAAAAATGCTGAATACTGCAACTAAGACATGAGCTCATCTATGATGGAAAATAAAGTACTAAGCAACTTCTACAAAAGTACTGCAAGTCAAATTGGCTGTTACAAAAACACTGAATACTTTAAGTGGAATAAGTAACCAGCAAGTTAAGGTTTTGAATCACTCACGCTTTGGTAAAGTGACTGCGAGAGAACAAGCGATAATTTTCGGCAAAGTTGATATGTCTCACAACGAAACCACGTCCAGTGGAGCGATACTGCATATCAACCATCATTCTCAAATATTATATCATCACATTGTATAGCTACATGATAAATATGGTAATTTTAAGCACGACCAGAAATATTAATAAAGTGAAGCTGATACCTTCGCACCACCGTGAAGTACGATACGCCCAAAATAGTGAGTACGAGTGCCCAAAGAGAACGTGAAAAAGACTGAAGCCAGTTGCAGCTGCATAGTGCAGAAGCTCATGATAGCCTGTAGATAACTATACAAGGTCAATATTTACTCTTAATGTGACCAGCGTTCAATCAAACTCATTCTCTGTTTTCTCAAAACAACATGATGAGCCTAGTCAACCAAAGCAACTAGCACTTCGTACAGAAATTCGTGAGGTATTAATTGAATGATACGCAGAGTTGTTATTACTGATTGTGTAAAGCCAAACAATTTGAATACCTCAGACCCACCTTTAGAAGCCCTTGCTCCAAAACTAGATTCACTATCATAGGAACTGCAGTAAACATCCCGATTTGAAATAAAAATTGAGAAGCTAGAACTGATTGCAGCGCACTATTCCCAAGGATGTCGTTATTGGCTTTCAAAGATGCATCTACACCTGATAGTGCCTGCCAAAGACAGAACATTTTAACAAATTAGCATATTGCAGATTGCATCTGCTTTATTAAGACATAAGAGACAGAAAAAGGTTCCACAAGTTTCAACATAATCAATAATAAACTAAGACCGTTAAAAAACGAAAAACTCGCTTCCAAAGATAACGAAATGACTCACCAAATAAGCTTTCCCGTAAAGAAAAACATAAAGAGTCAAAACTGTCATCTGCGCAACAAACAATAAGCACGTAAGAAATGAGAACTACAAAGCTCCAGTATGGATGTATCCAAAACTTCCACATGCGCAACATCATATGATCTATATGACAAGCTAGGGCATGTTACGAAAAGATTGATAAACATGGTGTAAATAAAGTATACCATGGTGGTGACATAGAAGCCAACGGATGTGAAGAAGAATGAGAGCATGCGAGGGAAATCGAGAAGCTGGCCAAGCCTATAAACATCTCGAGCAAGAACCTGCTCTCCGTTTCCGCTAGCCACTTTGGCCTCAAAGGTAGCTATTTGGTTCAGACCAACATCTCGCCCCTTCCCAACCTAGCAAACGATACCACCAAATACGACCTAGTTGGTACACTGTGATATATTTCTCCTACAAATATTTCATAAAATGAATCGCACATCCAAAAACGCAGCTATATTCACACAATGACACTGAATCTACACAGCTGGGTTCAGATATTTTAACATCCTATAACTCCAACCAAATGATGCTCTTTTATTAGGAGTCGTATGAACATGCATCAGAACACCAACGTTTTCGGACGGGGTAACACCATTGAGAATTCTGTTAATTTATACCACCCTAATTTGAAGTAAACCAACACTGCTTCGAAGTTACTACGGTAAGAAGGCACACCTGAATATATTCATGATGAGTGACATTGCCTTGCCTAAGAGTAGTGTTGAATCCTAATAATTTGACATAAAGTTTGGTTTAGTAACATCATCCAAATCAGCTACATTAAATCAGTTGGACACTCGAAAATTGCAGATTCAATCAAAAAAAAACTTGAACACAAATGAAGCGAACAAGATAAACACCAAGGAAAACATCAATCAGAGGAAAACAAAAAGTACGGGACATAAGTAGACTGTGTAAGGTTTACTAAAAGCACAAGATAACACCTGCGAAGATGTCCTCGCTGAGATTGATACCAGCTGATGCTTTACTTACACCACCAGTAGTGAAATGAAATACTCTGTCGAAGATATCTGGATGGCCATAGTGCATCCTCACCCTGCATTTTGATATCGATCATAAGCTCAGAGCATACAGAAATTAGCGGCTTAGGGTATTGAAAGAATTCCCAATATGTCAGAAATTGGAAGTGTTGAGATAAACCTCAGTACTTCATTTATTCAACTGCTTAATTATATCATTACAGTGAAACAAGATAAAGAAAAACCTACTTCAGAGGTCGAGCCAAGACGCGCTGACCAAGTGTCACAAAACTGCTTTCTTGCATGGACATGAACCACGCCAGCGAAGAAACACTGCAGCAACATAAACAGAGTGCATCTCATCAACGTACACTGAGGAAAGAAAATCTGCAACATCTCTGTAGAATCTACCACGTTTGCAACCATTTGAATGTACAATACTGAACATTATTAGCTTACAGACTAGACAAATTTGACTAATGCCAGCATATCCTATCCATAAAATTTGGTAGGATAACTTGACATCGACCCAGTACATACCTTCCTGTGAAGACATGCTCACGAACACCAAGAATAGTAGGACGATTTCGTCCGTGAATCTGATCGAACTCCTCTAGCAAGTTCCGCACCTTGAAAGCCTCTTCAAGGTAGTTATCCTACAAACCATGATGAATGAACTTATAAGCATAATAAAGCGGACTTTCGCAAAATAAAGAAAGCAGAGGAAAATGACGTGCATAGATTTTAAAATAATAGCAGCAAAAGAATGATGCTACAGGTCCTTGTCTAAAATAGGAGGAGTTGAGTTTGCATATCCAACATCCTCGAAATGAGAACTTTTGTAGTTATGGTCAGCCTCCATGCACCCTACACTGGAGATATCCGGACAACGTACCGTTCGACTTTATTCTACTGTATCACTAAGCAGATTGGACAGATTATCTGCATAGCACAAAATTCTACTAAGAGGTATAATCAAGAAAATTTATAGTACAGCCCTTAACATAAGTTAAGAAGGACGCATCTAGAACAATCCGGAGGAGAGGAATGAGGAAAAAAGAAAAGAAGCGCATGAAACCTGGTTCATATCAATGGTTTGAACTGCATCCCCACGACTAAATATGATAGCATGATTTTGATTTTCTGGTTTTCCTTCTCCGAGTTTAAACGGCCCAGGGAGCTTGACTGAGTATATGATCTGCGACCAAGATTATGCACACTTTGAGAAACACTTCAGGTTATGTATACCTCATCATTAAAGATTCCGAACATTAGGATCTCAGATAAAATACTGGCTGAATTTAAGAGCCACTTTCTGAGCCATGTAAATGCATGTAACGGTATGGATGTGCTTCAATTTAACATCAGAAAATCAGTCATGCAATACTGAAGCCAAAGGCGGATCTGAGATCAAAGAAACAAAATGAAGATGACCTGGTCTTTTCCTTTATCCATCTTGTCAACTTTCACCAGCTTTGAATAGTACGTGGTTTCTTTTGCACCCGACTCTATAGTGACTTCATCCACGTATGCAACTCGCAAGGATTCATTTCTGTTGGCAAGACCACAGGAAGTTAAAGTCCGAATATAATAGACTGTAGGATATCCATCAAGACCAGCATGAAGAACCTTGCAAGGACTCACCACATACCTCTTAATGATGGGGTTGAAAGTTCACACAAACACTAATAATGTTAATGAATTCTTCAAGTTTTTGATGAAATTTGAATCAAAGTGTTGATGCAGCGACTCAATTTACATTATTTGTTCTTTAAAGTGAGTAAATAAAACGCTGTCTTACATAGCCCAGTTTGATACTTACTGTTGCATTAGATAGAGTATGTCCGCTGCTTGAGGCTTCCCTGTCTTCTTCTGATCACCATATATCTGACAAGAAACTAGGTATACAAATTTAAGCTCTGCTTGGGCTTTAGGAGATCGCTGCAGTGAACCACGTCGAAACGATGAAGAAGACCCTCCACTTTCAAGATCTGTTCACTCAGAATGATCAGGTAATAAGTATCTAAATTGATGCCAACTGGATTTGCAGAAGGTGAGATAGGTTCAAAGCAAGGATTTGTAGAACGCAAGATAGTTCAAAGCAAAGAACTTAACCTGAAGAACAGCCCTTGTCTTGCGCTGATTGTAGTTCTAAAGCCTTTTTGTAGTACATCATGCCTCTAACTACATAACACCCCACCAACCCTCAAAGTGGACGAGTCAGCTCTAAACTGTAAGCAATGGACCTATGCAGATACCACAATCTAAAGAACAATCTACATGAAACAAAATCCAGTAATCAGTAGCAGTATCAAAATGGTAGACAAAATCATCAATGGAAGAGTAAATAGTCAGAGCACGATGCCGGTTCACAAAGCACATTACAAAAAATGTTGTTACATTTCTTTACAAGCTGTAAATACTTGGCAATAACAAGAAATCTCACATTGAAGGTGTTCAATACCTGTTCTAGCTAATGTTTGGCCACGATATGAAGCCCAAAGTCGCAATTCAAGTTTGGTCTCTTCTTTCATGTATGTCGGATTCCAGACCTGTCGCTCGAACTCCTTTTCAGTTACTTTTAGCCTTTCAAGGAAATTTTTGAATTCGTCTGCCCAAATACAATTGAAAGTATCCAATCAACATCACAACAGAACCACAGCCAACAACATAGAGAAGCTGATGTCATACACAAAAGTAGTGAAAGCAAATTATAGAGTACATTTTGTGAATACAAATCAAAACAACCTGCAGGACCTTCTATTTGTAATCTGTGGCATACAATGTATCTCAACACCACAAGACAAGAATGATACAGAAATTCGGCTATTCTCTATATAAAATGAAATGTTTCCAGATTAAAATAATGCAGCTGGCCTGTCATGAGTACATACAGCATGAAAAATTTAAGCATCTAAGATTTCAAAGGAGATCAATGTCCCATTATAAATAAAATATAATATGAAAAATTCAATTAAGTTAAATTAAATTAAACGTAACGACAATATGTGCACCAATGACACCAGAGCAAGCGAAAATCAAAACCATCTTAGAAATTGAAGTCAATGAAAGAGAAAAACCGGAAAAGAGTATTACCAGGGTAAATCTTTCGAAGGTAAAACAAAATAGTAATGCCATCCTCATTCTCTCTGTCAAGCTCTTTGATATCATCCTTCTTCAACTTGTCCTTCTTAGCGCCCTTCTTTTTGAGGTCGTACATTACGTCTTCGGAATAGTAAGGTGTGAACACGCTGCAAGCATCACCCCAAAATATAAATACTTAGTTCGTCTGCATCAATAACTACGACGTGATCGGATTAGGTAAACTTTTAAACGAAACGTGAGGGATATATATTAAATGCAGGAACACTTACATACCAGAAAGAGAACATTTCAGAGACAGGCCGAGCTTTAGGCATGTGCATGAACAAAGAGTTAGTGAAGAACTCTAGGCGGCGTCTAGCCTCCAAATTTTTAGGAATGGATTCTGTATTATAGGTCTTTTGTTTCCCATCCGCTTCGTCCTTGAATTTATGGACTTTCAAAATATTGTGAAGTCGAGTCGCTCGTTTTTGCTGCGGTTCATAATAACTGAAGATTATACATTGATCCGATTCCAGACATTCAAAATTTTCAAAATTTCAAATTGATTCACCAGCATAACATTTGCGAATTCTATCTTTCTAGGACATAAAAACGGTCTACATTTCTTTATCATATTGACAAGGCATACTAAAAAGATTCAATAGATTGAAAAACCTTAGAACAAAATGAAAAGCACTATACCCATCCTTCGTTAGGCCAGAGCAAATCACTGAAAAGTTGCTCCTCTTGGATAAACTTCTGGTAAAGTACCCAGTTGCGGAGTCTATCACTGCAACCATACAACAGAAAATGATGAGAAAAAAACGGTTTCTCTAATTCTCAGCACCATTGACATGGGTGACAGCAGAATTACTGAAAAGAGTAGAAAAAATGATCTAAAGAATAAGACTTCTGAGATCAAGGGATACGTTGAATTAATTGGTGCTTCTACCTGGATTCACGACCCAGCAGATCATTCATGACAACTTTGGAAACCCTGTTCAACTCCGTTATCGCCTTCTTCCGAACTGCTGGGTTTTCTTCTTGACCCTACAATCATTTACAATTAGACGAAAACCGGTCAAGAAATGAACATATCAGTCAAACGCAAAACAAAGTCAGCTTACCCACACTAGAATCTAAGTAAAAAGGAGAGAAAGTCCTCATATCTAGTAGCATGTTTCTTTCTAGCATGCTCAATTAACACCTGATAGCTTCTGAAAAGTTATATGCCAGTGGATAGTGAGAAAACCTTAAATATAGCCACCATGAGTATTACATACCAAATAATAAGTCAAATCTCTGATAATATCCACCACTTCCCGTAGCTTGTGCAACTTGTAGAGACCCACGAACGCCATGTCCGCAACTCTGCCTCTAACATCTCCAAAAATATCAATAATCCTGAATCAACCACATGAGTTACAGATCAGAACTTACACCCTCCTGATACGTTCTGGTAATGGATTCCCATAAATAAAATTAAGTAAGCATAGAGAATAAATTTGTAGTTCCAGCTTAAGTTGAATTCAAGTGTGAGCCAAAAATTGATCACGTGTACATGTAAACAAAAACATTCGGAGAAGGACAACAAATAGAGAGACAAAGCTTATCTGATCAGAATCTTAGCAATCAAACATGTGTTTTCCGAGAGGGTAAGTAATGGTGATACTTGCGATCAAAATATTTAATTTGAGTGTTGCCCTGTACTTTACAGTATATCAATAAAGCTCTTCAAAATGGATGCCCTGTTACAAAAGCTTACCATCGTTGTGCATTAATATTATTTGCGAACATAGACAGCAACAGCTGTTCTATTGTCTGAAAGCTCTCCTGAATAGCAAATTTCATATATTCATCAACTGTCACCTTCTCCCAGATATCTTGTTGATCGTCATGCTTATTCTCTGCTGCAAGATCAACTGCAATATGCACCTGTTTCAAAACAAGTACATGGATGTCAAACTTCCGGCCTGCACAAATCTACATCAAACCTCTTCACAATTATGCAATTAGATCAAGCAGGCCGATACAGACACAGTTGCAAGAACATGATCGCAGATTGAGCAGAGAACATGACCAAGCTATACGAAGAAGCTATGTAAGACTTCTCATAACTTGTGTTTGTCCACAATTAAAACCAGGAAAACATGGAACATTAGAATGAAATGGGTGAGGCAACAAAGTACTCAAACAAACTGTAAACAAGTCACAGTTTTGATACCTTATTAGCGAGAAGAAAAAGCGGCCAGCAGATCGCAGTGTCCTGTTTACCATTAGGATAAGTGTTACTATTTGGTGGCATTTCCAGCATGTCGCATTCCCTGTAAAAAGAAACGGAGGAAATTGATCAAAACAGTAAAGAGATTTCAATTTGTAGTATCGATGAAATCCTTCACAACTATACAAACAACAAAGGTTACAGTAAACAAAGAGAACATCCCTTATTATGTTTGAATTGTACTAGGATTACAATTTATCTGTTCATTGTCACAAAACTTGATTACGAATAGTTGACGGCACATGAGAAATGTACATATTCAAAGTACCTGTTGTCCAAAAGGTCTTCCTCTCGAAGACAATTGATGACAGCATTCCATATAGGAAGGAACCTTCTAGCATCATCTTTGTTCTGAATAGCCTGAAGTATTGTTCACATTAAGGGACATTCAAGGTTGAGATACAATGCACTAGATATCGCCCAAGAAGCCCAACACACGTAAAGGAGACGCTAAGTGTACTCCATGGACACCCCACTATTTGGTACCATTAGTTGTATCTTCTAAAATCACGGCTGAATTATAGAGTTTGAGATAGCATCACATGTCTTGCCCTGAATTATCGACAAGACCATTAACAAAGTTTGCTTTAATTCTGACACAAATGGACCGCAGTTAAAGATAGATACTCTGAAAAATAAATCTTCCAGTGATTCTGAGATGAAAAAAGTCTGCCATGCTAGAGCAGTTATTTACTTCAAACGGTCAAACTACTCATGGATGGTGAAAGATTTCACAACAGCTACTCACTCTGACTAGATGCAAGGTAGCATACGAAAAGAAAATTACCTTTTTCTCATCAGCCGCTAGGTCTTCTCGAGCAGGTGTTAAACTTGATCTGTGAACACAAGAGTCCAAGAGCTTAGGACCGGCTCATATCACAGAGCTTACTTAAACATGACATAAAAAGCTCTGGTGTTCATTAATGCTAATTCTAACCAAGACATCGAACTTTTAATAAGGACCGAAACAAAGTCACTAATTATAAATTAATCTGAACATGAATCACAAACAGGTAATCAAATACAAGAAAAAAAGTTGATGCAAATCGCGGGTTTACTGAGCAGGTCATTACAGACGGTTTTGATAACGATGAACTAAGCACATGGTACGCAGTTCAGTTATAAATATGCTGTAAGGAAGATTGTGAACCCACCTATTAGTCTCCATTTGTTTCGCAAATGCTTCAGGGCAATCAAGGAATCGCTTCCTCAGCATCTCTAATGATCGAATCTGGCAAGCCAAAAGCGAGAGGATGAGGGTCAAACTGACTTCATTGTAATGAGCGCATGAATACAGTGAAGTATAAGCATTCGGTAGACAAAATAAAAACACAAAGCGACAAAACATAATGCCTTAAAGAGCAGCAGCCCGAATTTGACAGGACTTCCTAAGCTACATGTGGAGTGATAAGAGCCTCAGGGTAATTGGAAACATAAGAAGTCGAACTTGCAGTCTCAATCATCAAAGGGACCAAGGAGAAACTCAGTTCATTTGCAAGGTCATCAAATAATATGGTTATAAGTTTGGAGCGTCTGAAAGTAAAAGCTTCTGATTTGTGAATACTTGTTGCCACTCAGTCCTTCTCCAACCACTATGCCCATTACATACATGTACAGGAATCGTAACAATAAGTCGTGACTCGCATAAAAGACTCACCTCGCCGAGTTTGTCTCTTGCACCTCCCAAACCTCCTACCAATGCCGATGCTACAGTGTACCACACTTGCAAATCCAAGACATATATCTGAAAATTCCAAAAGCAATAAGCAAGGCAATCTGAACATAACTATCATCTTACGCATAAGAATACCAGACACCCTCCAATGTGAAGACAATAAATAGCAAATATCAAGGTAAGATGCTGTGACCCTGGCTAAAGATGATGTCAAATCATTAACTGAGAGGCAAAACTCTAAATAATGCTTACAACAATTTTCTGTGACGACACCAGGTTTCATGAATTGGCATAGAGATGTACACATTAACACACCCACAGTTTCAAATGCTCTTAACAAGAAACAGCAGAAAAGGTAGCTGGCTGTCCTATGATGGCGCAAATGAAGTATGACGTACCATGACAACTGGCGCCCAAAGTGACACAAGTGTAAAGATATTTTTGTTGCCTGCAAGCCCATGACGGTTAAAAAGTTAACTCAATTCACTTAGTGAACCTGGAATTAAAGACATGTCAAGCAATTTAAAAGGAAGAAGAAATCGTAGTAGAATTTAGACTCAAGGAAACACACGCACCCTGTGAGACAAAGCTATGCCACCTGTACGTAATATTCTCAAATCCAATAATGAGTCTTGTGGGTTCCACCATGGGCATAAGCTGCAGCAAATGGATCCTTAAGAAAATCAGTTTTTGAGGTTTTACTTGATTACGAACCATGCAATTCATCATGAATAAAGACACGAAGATATATCCAGGTTAATTATGCAAAAACTACACACACACAGATATATCTAGATATATATATATATATATATATATATATATATAGACGCGATGGTTTTAACAGACAGACAGAGCTGCAAAAGGTGAAATGGTACCAACCTGAAAATGCATGGTGAAGGCAAACTTGCAAGCTAGGACAACGCCCCAGAAGAATGAGTACCTAGATCAGTTTACAAAAAAAATCCGCCATTATTCTCCATCAAAACATCGTCCTTACTCTAGTTTGCAAATATGTCAAATTCAGAAATCGCATGGCATCCATAAGCACAATGTGAAATGGCAACTGATATTAATCAAAAATAGGTCGTATTTAAGCAGGCATGCTTACTTCACATAATCTTTTGTTCTCTCATACATGCCGCGCCCAACATAATATCGTTCCTGGTAAACAGACAGACCCAATTGCTAATCAAAAACGTCATGAACTTCACATCCGCAAAACACCCGAAGATTAGAGAGCCGTTAACATATATGCTTTACACATAGAACAAAAATCATCAGATTATATGACTCTCGGGCATGTCAAACTGATGACGTTATAGACTCTCGGGCATCCTTGCAGTTGCAAGCTAGCACTAACCATCAACGGCGACATCAGCTCCTGATCAGGAGTGTGCACACAATCTCATAAGTGTGGTACCAACGAAGCCAATATTTGTACCCTACTCTACGCCAGTTTATTTGCATATGCATGCAGCTTCGACAACAGCCAGTCATGAAGACTTCAATAAAGAAAGGATCAAGTAGCCATTCCAGAAGATAAAAATATAACTGGCTTCAAAGTATAACACCGATATATGTACCTCTTTCATCCACGTCAGGAATTGACACAATCTGACATTTGAGCAACGGTCAACTTGCTTTCGTAAAAATGGCAGCCGCAAGACAAACGTGAAAAAAACTTGAGCTCCAGCATAACTTCCCAGTACTATACAGTAAAGTCGAAACCAAGGAGTGGAAGGGGTATCTCTAGCTTCCTCTTGTAGAGTTTTCCTGCGATTGATGAACAAATCAGTATCGTGGTCCGCAAAGAGGTTCTTGATCTCTTGGTATCGGTGCCACCCTGCCTACTATCTGCATTCATTCTACACGCTGGGGGTTTGATAATCATACGCCAATTTTGAATCACATGCATAATCCCACAATGAGCACAATAAAAGTAAACATATTATAACAAAAAAGTATTAAGATGCTTACACGTAAAGGTACACAATACCACCGGATAGGCCTAGTAACCAGACCAATCGTACAAACATACGTAAGACAATCGGCTTGCGAGTATTCCTTATAGCTCCCCACATGAATGCAAAATCCAAAATTGCTGAACATCAAACAATAACTTGGATCAGAAAAGTTCCAACCGAGGAACAAAATCATGAAACGGAATAAATCGTGCGGTATTCAAAAGCTAAAACTTGAACTGGTAACCAAGACATCTAAACAAAACCAATGACGAAATATCATGCGAGGATGTAAAATTATTAATCTCCGATTACAGCCTTAAAAGCATCGTGACTAATTGACTTCCAGGCAGACGCTCCAAATACATTCTAACCGGCAATCTTACTGCTTTAAAATAAACGAAAGAAAAGTACACAATATGCTCCCGCATCTCATCTCAACATAGAAACATTTGATATGAGAAAAACTCACATTTTAAAAGCTTCATAATCGCAAATGTGGGTCCAACACTCAACATGAATTTGACTGTTCGAAGACGTAGATTTAAACGTCCATTTTCGCTGCAAAATGCCCATACTGCCAACACCTAAAAATCCAGATAGGAAATGGGAGATTAGCAATTAAGTACGAAGGAATCAACTAAGACAAAATTCGTGATAATGATCATCAGAGAATGTTGTTTCATTGACTACACGAGAAAGACATGTTCACTGACGATGTCAAACACTAAAAACCTGGTCCCGAGAAAATCAAACAACAATTGAGAGATGGGACACATCACTACGAATATTCTCGTCCAGATAAGAGATCTACCTGAAGCATGCAAACCAAGAAAACCCAAAGCCGGTGAAAGCTGTGGTATAAATGGAGACTAGAGCGGTGCTCCACAAAGTTTATCTTTCCAACTCTACGCTCCCTCCTGGAGTTGTTGGCTTCTAATAATGGCATTGTATCTTCTCGTGAAGATGGCTGGAAACAAATCATCAACAAAAATGAGACTGATCTTCAGAAATCGCTCCTCAACATTTGTTTACTTAAGTTGATCGACGTTGCCAGACTAATTGTGCAGCCGTGCAAGAGTGAATTTTTTTAATTCCGTGCAACACAAAAACATCATACATGCTCAAATTAGAAGATAGTCTATTAGATACAGCATTATTACTAACCTTTCCATCACCCTTCTTCCTTGGCTTCGTGAAGAAACCTGACTCTAAACGCCATGGCCAGTGAAGATCAAAGCAAGATGACTGCCTGCACTCACGAAACTCATATACTGTATAACGAACACTTAATAAGATCAGGCCATCTGCATCGGCCAAAGTGTTAAAAGCACACTTCTCTCGGCACAGAAGTGAAACTAGAAATCAAAACCATATTGTTCCTTCGAGCAGAGAGAACGGCTTAGTTTACCAGAAATACTCATTAAAATCATCATAATTTCGCCAGCTCGCATGTGGCGCTTTCCCGTGCTCACTATTTTTGGCCTCCTGCGAGATTGCTTCATGTCTGAAAATGCAAGATGGAAGAAACAAAAGACAACTATATACTATGACACTTTGGAACTACATCAACTGACTCAACCAAGCGCAATGAGGTAAACTTCCAAAACTTTGGAACACAACATACTAAGAAACTTACCGCAGCCACAATATTGTAAATCGGCGTGATGATCTGATCCAAGAATAAATAATCGATATTATCTTCATCCACTTTGATTGTTTTGGTCGCTCTCTCGACATTGTTCCGATCCAGCAGCTCAAAACATTCTTTCGCCATCTACAGGATTGTGCCACAATCAGATGAAAATCACAAAAAAATAATATCAACTGAACTTCTGCACAATTATAAGGCAAGCAAACAGCACAAGCGAATATGAAGAAGGTGAAACACTAGTGCACGCCTCATTCGAGAGTAAAGTATGACCATACGGAATAAATTTTGCGAAAAATGAAGTTCAAATAATCATCATTTTCAGTTCCTCCACCAGTGTCTATAATTGATAGGCAAAAGTTGATCTAAAAAGCTCCAGCAGCAACTTGACACAAATCAAAATTTACGCACAAGCTCTCCGTTCAAAGGGTCAAAAAGGACTTAAGCTGAGCTAGAAGGCAAAAGTAAACAACTTACGTGATGAAATATGTAACACAGGCACTCAGGAAGAAAGCGAACATTTGCTGCTTCACCCCAAATCAAGAGATAAAGAGCAGCCAAGAAGAGTCTCTTTTCAGAATTCATCGCTCTGCATTTCAAACATGAATAATCTCAACAAATTTTTAATCCTCAAATGAGGCTTTCACACAACTCTAAAATTCAAGTGATTGAGATTAAGGCAACAAGTGTCCCCATCACATTGAACGACACAAAAACGTGATGCGTTCAAATACCCATGCAGGAAATATAAGACACAAGATGCTTCTGTAGTAGCTGTTCTATACTGCGATCTAACAAGCACAACGAAATTGAAAGTAGTATGAGTTTAGGTGTAACCATCTTGCACAAAATATAGAATCGTGATTTCAGAGAAACAGAAGCGCAAACTCACAGTAGGGTCTGAGGCTTCTCGTTCAAAAAGTTGCACCAGCGGACGTAGTTTGCCAAAATCCGATCGAAAACTTGTTTTACAGCGTTCTCGTCCAACTGAACATATAATGACAGACGTCAGATTGAGTGGATCATTGTCTACAGGTAACTGACTGTCAAAGAAACTTTATAAAATTAAGGATCTCTTATGTAATAGTGCCAAGGGATGTGAAGGAATTTTGGATTGAACGAATAAAAATAAGAACTAATGTACAAAGCCCGTGTACCTTGGCATTGTAAGCCAGTGTAGTTCCTTTAGAGAGAGTACCAACACGAGACTCCGCATTAGCCAAGAGCAGAATGAGATGTTCACGCTGGTTGGATACGTTGTCCTTCTACTCACATAGACAAGAAGAAAGTAAGATAAATATAAATCTTAACATCTATCATCATAATGCAGCGCCAACGTTCAAATAATTTGTAATCCACAACTACATATATTCACCGATACTCTTTTCGAGAAAGTAAATAACAACTTCATTTTAATATCCGACAAGCTTTAACTCCAATGAGTTTGAGTCTCACTTGCCTGATGCAAAAACTACTAGTAGATGAGCAGTAAAAAGAGAAAAACAACGTGAACTAGCTGCAACAAACCTGGAAACAAAAAGCAAAGTGCAAGAAATCGAAGATGTCCAAGACATCCCTGCCGACTGTTTTGGAGTGATCAGGTTCGAACCGTGGGAAATGAGACCATTGAGATGTGTACAGAGCTCTTGTGGCAGCAACCACCTGAAGACAAACCGTACACATTTCTTTCAATGACTACATGCACCGAATTAGGTTTTGATAATTTTTTGTAGTGCAACTAAATGAGCTTCTAGAACTTCTTGACTTAATCAACACAGAAACAACTAAACATAAACACGATATAGAAAGCGGCTTAAGCTCACGCCCTGTCACAATGTAAAACCCATTTGCAACTTCAGGAATAGAGAACGCAACAAACAAACCAGCTACTCACCTCAGGAAAACTTTGGAAAGGATTCGTAACACCAATAGACTCCAAAGGCAGAATATTATAAGGTTTAAACTCCTCCATCTTTTTGGCATCTGCATCCAGTGCTTCTTTCTGCAGACGAAGGCACGCGAAGTTCCAGAAAACCCATTTCAGTGGAATATCCTTCAAAGGAACATCACTTATCTAGTATTTGGGCGTGAATGAGAGGCAAATGAGACAATTAATAGACACATACTTCACACACGATTCGCAGCAGTAAGTGTAGGTGATTTCATCTTACAGCAGGATCGACAATTGAACTGACTTGAGGTTCCACTGCCACCAAGAAGTCAGCCGCATTGTTCAAGATTTTTGAAATTTTGTAGAACTCTCTGCGTTTCTTTGCTCTCCTCGCTTGACTGCAGATTTCAAAACTACAGAAGTCAATTTTGTGCCAGCAACATGGATACACACCTGACACGATGACACCAGATATTACTTCAACAAAGATTAGAAACCGCACGTAATATTAGACGGGACGGAAGAGGGGGGGAACGAAATGTTGAAGACAATTGAATATGTTTAAAAAAAAAGTCGCGCTATGTAAGACAAAATGCTGTAACAGCGACTGGCCGTAATAAGACCCAGAAACAGGCAGACTTTCGAAAAGCAATGAGGATTCCCCACAAACCTTTCAGGATTCTCCTCTAGACCGAAACCTTCTTGAGCCGCCTTCTCCTCAGCATCAAGGCTCTCAATGTCCTCTCTCTCTTTGTACATCCTGTGGTACTCCGTGAGAAGTCTGACATCTTGGCTGCGGTCGATTTGGTGCTTTATACGATTTCGCTGCAACAGTTTCAGGACTCCAACTTTAACATCACCAACTACAAATACATACACTAACATACTTCTTATACTTCATTTGCGAGGCTTGCAAACCCAAATTCCAAAATAAAACTGGAAGTACCAAGGCAACACGAGAATAATGGTAACTGAATATCTCTCTCTCTCTCTCTCTCTCTCTCTCTCGCTGTCTGTCTGTCTCTCTTGTGACACTGTAGTAGACGTGACTCATTGACTTAGGTACACTAGAATTGAATCGTCAGGCGCTTGAATAGACGTCCAGCATCAAATAAGCTGCCGTCTGGTTGAAGAATTCACCCCTTTGCACATTCGAACACTTTCGTGCAAAATAATACTATATGATGAGAAGAGCATATACTGATTTCATTAAAAGACATCGTCGGAATAGAATGTAATACGCTTAAACCAACTTCAACAAGAAACAGAACAGAATGTACCGCAAGAACAGCTTTCAAGGCCGATTTGAACTGCAAAACGCCCCGTCCCTGATTTAAGGGGTCCATTTGTTGAGTAAGATTGTATGCATATTCGAACACTGCCAAACAACCACTCAATGTCATAAACAAGATGACGTTAATCAACCTCTGAAGTCATAAATGCGAGGAATTTATGGACACAGCTTGAGTTGTCCCTGCATAGGTAAAATATTTCAGGTACCACTCTAACGTGAAGAAGCTGACTGATTCTTCCTCCAGGCTCACTTAAGAAGACAATCTCTACATTCCTTACACGTTCTCACTTCTTGACATTCCAGCTAGGATCCTGTGTAGCTTGAATGACCAACTCCATAATCACCAGATGGTGGTTCTCCTAATTGTTCATATCATGATCAATGTACCATCAGAGGCTTCTAAAAGTGGAAATCAAATGCCACAAGGTCATGATTCCATTCAAGGTAAAGTCTAGTTCAAAAATTCGACTCTGCCATTTGTAAGAATTTTCAGACTTGTACTTCAGCTCAGGAGAATAGAATCGAGCTGAATACCTAAAGAATAACTAGAATAAAACCCACTGCTAAAATCCCTCTACGACATACTCTGTTTGATGCAAGAGAAGGTGATTCGCCAAAGACTGCATTCAAAGCCTAAGGAACTACAATTGGTTAATTATCTTGATTTTGAAAAAATCTGAAATTGTTTTCAAAAATGTGTGCTCTTTGATTTGAAACCTTGTCTCTCAACGTTCTTATCCTTGAATCACATCCACACAGGGAAGAAGCATGGTGCAATATCAGTTTAGTATAGATTCACGCACAAATACGGCCGACGTCATCGTCCTCGTCTTGAATCTTTTCTGCAACTTCCATAACAGCAGCAATGTCGGTCTGGGCAGCAAGAGACTGCGGTACAATATACGACTCGGATCTCTCGTAACGCCTTGACGATCTCGATGTCATCCTGCTCTCATCTTCTCCCTCTTCACTGCCACTGTAATCCGGGTCCTCATTCCCCAAAGCCGAACTCACTGCTGCCCCCACCAACTGCTCCCAATTTCGCACCACACGCCTGGGAACCGCACGCCTGGGGGCGACTCGAGCACCGTCTCTGTCCCTCCGAGACCTAAACGACCTCTCTGACGTCTCCATACTCACCACCCTCTTCCCTCTCACCCCAACAGAGTAAGCAAACTAAACCCCCTTCCTCACTGACATTCCGCCAGCCCTCTCCTAAACAAAATCCCAAACTCTCGCCCTCCTCGAGAAATCACCTAATCACGAAATCCCAGTTTCGATCCAGCGCTCCATGTACCCTTCCTCGTCGGTGCTTCACTGAGAATCGACAGCCAAACTCGACCAAAGTAACCAAACTCGACAATCACCAATCAAAAGATACGCAAGCCTCTAACACTCAATCGAGAAGGAGCTTCCACGAGAGGAAAACATTCAAAAACAAAAGGGAAATAGCAGGAGAGGGAAACAGAACAGGTTTCCACCAACCATGTGAGAGAAGGAGAAAGAGAGAGGGCGAGAGAGGAAGAACTTGGAGGCACCTACCTGTGGGGCTGCGGTGCCAGGCGCTGGAAGTCCCACCTGCGACGACAGTGCAGCTGAGTAGTCCCACGTAGCCACCACGACAACGGCAATGCTGAAGCGGTAGAATTCGGGGAAAGGGTCGGAGGCGGGGGCGGGGCCAGAAGCATCCAACTCAAAATTACGATGGGCGGCAGCACTTGCGACGAAGGAAGGAAGGCTTCCCCTCCCTTCCATTCCCTTTGCTTTCTTTCTTTCTTTCTTTCATATGTTTGCAGGGGAACGCAACGACGACGGTTCGTTCCCAGAGAAGAGAGGGAGGATGTGTCCAACCCGTGATCCCCGGGGGGGTCACCCGCTATTCCCTCAGGTTGCTGCTGCTGCTGCCGCAATGCCCAACATTCCCTTCCCTTCATTTATTTCGAGTTGGGAAGGTGAGTTAGTGGGCATAGTCAGCCAAATGCTGTGCTATAGGGGGGCATGGCAGAATAATAATAATAATACCCTCCCCCCCATTCTGCTGCTATGTATCATGCATAGCCACGTGCTGCATCGAAACTCTCTCTCCCCCCCCCCCCCATGTATGAATGTGTGTGTAATATTGAGTTTGTGTATCAGGTGGGTTAATGTTTGGTTGAGCTTTTGGTTACCTTTGTACATGAATCAGTCCTTGATGAAAAGAATGGTTATCATTGTATTGTCTTGAAAATGTATGGATTCTATGTATTTCATCTGCTTATTGATACAATAATGATACAATAACACTTTTTTCTAAACAAATATTTTGTCTCAAAAAAGTCATTCTGCCATTGGGAACTACTTTGTCAAAAAGATTCCATTGGGAACTGCTTTCTCTAAAACTGTGTAATATAGATTTATGTAGTAAATAATTTATTGAATAATATCTCAAAATAAATCATGATGTTATGTACATTTTTTTTTTGTTTTAACTTCTCTACTTTATATATAGAGAGAGGGTATTAATAATCTTACCACAATCTTTGATGCTGTCACCTCAACCTCCCGTCACACAAATGTATTTTTTTATTAAATTTTATATATTTTTAAAAATAATATATTTATCTTTTAAATGATTATAATTTAAAAAAAAAAACTAAAACTAAAATATATGCATATGAAATGGGTGGAAAGTTGTGGCATCAGTTGTAGCCAAAATTGTGGTGGTATTAGCATATATATTTATATTTATATATTTTTTTAAATGTTATTTTAAAAACTATGTATAACAATTGTATTTTTTTAAGGATATTTAGATATATTTTTTAAAATATTTCTATTGAGGATTATCATTTTTACAAGTGTATATTTTCTACACATTTTTCATATAAAAACATGATTATAAATTTTTTTAAAATGTACGTAATATGTACTAATTTAATCCAAATATATAGTATTTAACTTAATATTATACAATAAATAAAAATTTAATCTATTTTATTGCAGAACTACATATAAAATTTTAATATAAATCTGGTTTTTACTTATACTAACATAACTTGGCATTTTGGAGTGTAATATTTATATGGATTTTGAAAACAACATGTTCTGTAACAATTTTGTTAATGTTATAGAATTTTTCAATGATGTAGTCATGAAGAACAATAATAATAAAATAGAATGTTTTTTCTTTTAGACTTTTCATCCTTTTTACAATTTTATTCTTGTTGTAGTGCATTACAGCATTTGATTCTTGTCCACACATTACAGTTTTGAACAAATACAAAATACTGAACATGTTGTTTCACAGAGGAACTATTACCCATATGATATACTATTTTTTAAAAAACTATATTTACACATTCTTCAATGATTGGTATTTTAATTTTTTGATTTAGCTTAGTATCATTAAAGGATTCGACAATATTATTCACTCTAACATCTAATTTCTAAAGATGTGTTGATGTTTGTTTATGATTTAAAAAACCACATATATCTCGATATATTTATATATTTTTAAAAATTATTCCGTTGTGGAACTATAAGATGGATATCATTATAAAAATAAAGTCTTAGAGTGTCTTACACAAAAAAAAAAAAAAAAAAAAAAAAAAAAAACTTACAAGTTTGAATTATTTTAATTCCTAAAGTGTCAAAAACCATAGTATTTTAGAAGGTGTAAAGCAAACTTACTTGTCTTTGAAGGAACCTCGAACAAAAAGGCATAGTATAGCCTAAGTGCCCAGTAGTTTTTAAGGATGTATCTTGTACAATTATCAGTTACATAATTTTATATTATTTTTTAAATGGATATTTTTAAGTGTATATATATATATATATATATATACAGAGAGAGAGAGAGAGAGAGAGAGATGTGTGTGTGTGTCTAATTCAAAGTCATGTAAAATAAAATAAGACAGAAAATCAATAATTACCTGAAACCAAAAGCAATGACGTCTTACAAACTGAAGAATCTATATATACCCTTATTGTCACACACAAGGAAGTCATTTTGAGAATAGTTCCAAGACAATCCTTGATTTATGGAACTTGTCTTGACCGAATTAAAAATAGAATAAAGATTGTACCCAGTATCAATGACAGTAATAATATCAATTTATTCATTTTTGTAATATTTTATGAGGATTTAAAATAATTATCACACACATGAAATATGTGGGCAACATAAACTCTTGTACAAGTGAAATTCCAACAGTTAGAGAGCTATTATGACAAACAGCAAAAATATGGTCACTAAGAAAAAAATTCACCAAAAGGAATTAGTCACCATTCAACTCATGGTTGAAAGAGTGTACAACCTCATGTCTCTTACATAAGCCAAGGATGATCCAAATGCATCATCCAAACCCAATATGAACACAAAAGAAGAACATTGTGTTGGATTTTCATGTGTGCTCATTCTAAAGAGAATAAATATTTAAACAAAGTTATTTTTTAATTTAGTGTAAATTTTAAAATTAAAATCATTAATATATATATATATATATATATATGTAGTTGGAAATATGCATCAGCCACCATTCAAAATTCCTCATCAAGTCTAAGATGTTACTAGATTATTTAAGTTGTAGAAAAATGTGTCTTTACTTTTATATTAAACTATTGAATAAAAAATAAATGATTAAAATCCTGAAATCAAGTACTTCTGTGTAAAGAAATGCAGCAAATATCATTGAAAAAAAAAAAGTGAACCATTCTATTAATTGTTTTATTAGAATATGAAATTTAAATTAGGAACTTCCACATTGTCATGCTAATAAAACTATTATCATGGCAAGCAAAATACAATACTACATTGTATTCACATATTATGTAATTTGGTAGATTCTATGATTTTTTTGTATCTTTTTCACATTGATTTGTGGGTATTTTTCAATGGTCCTTATCCTGAAATGGAGGTGATATATTTCCTTTTTATTAACACAATCAAGCCTTAGATTTACTCTTCAAAGACCACTCAAAATGTAAAGCAACGTGTAATATCTATTGACTAGCAACAAAATCCAAGGTATATCTATTCATATGCCTAAGATATCACTTGACTACATCGAGAACATGTTGGCGGAGTTGGAGCAAAGTGGAGGACAAACATTTGAAGACTGTAAGAGACAATTGGCTTCTTCTAAGGATCACATTATGCCTATCACATGCAGAGATTTTGTTCAAGTTGCAACGAAAGCAATTTCCAATAAAGATGGGATTTGCAATGACTATTAACAAATCTCAAAGTCAATTGTTGAAGAATGTATGAATAGATCTTAAAACCCCCGCATTTGCACATGGGGTAGTTGTATGTTGCCTATTACAATGCACTTCTCTAAATATGATCCAGATTATATATCTTGAAAATAATGAAAATGAAAATACTTCCATAAATGTAGTTTATCATGAAGTTCTTTCAACTTACCTATTCTATTTGTTGCAATAAATAAAAATCGTGTTGGCCAATTACAATGAAAAAAACAAAAATAGTTTCATTGTTATGCATACACATTTTTATTTTTTGGTCAACATTTCTTTAAAAGTGGTCAAAATTTGACTTAGCAACTACAAATTAAAATTTTATACCTTTTTTGTGGCCAACAACATGAGTTTCCACAAGTATAAATAACTACTGACTGGCAACATGAGAACCCCTAACACATCCATCCATATGTCCAGTATATCATACGACCACGTCAAGAATGTTTAGGTGGACTTGGCAACAGAATCCATAATCCATCCATCCATATGCCCAAAATATCATCCGACCATGTCAAGAACGATATGGTGTTGGAGTGAGGTGGAGGACAAACAGTTGAATTCACGAATGAACGAACCAGCAAGTGAACGAACGAACTAGCCAGCGAACGAACGAACCAGCCAATGAATGAACGAACCAAACAACGAACGAACGAACTAACGAACGAACCAGCCAACGAATGAACGAACCAAACAACGAACGAACGAACGAACTAACGAACGAACCAGCCAACGAATGAACGAACCAAACAACGAACGAACGAACGAACTAACGAACGAACCAGCCAACGAATGAACGAACGAACGAACGAACGAACTAACGAACGAACCAGCCAGCGAACGAATGAACCAGCCAACGAATGAACGAACCGAACAGCGAACGAACGAACGAACCAGCCAGCAAACGAACGAACTGCAAAACGGACGGACGAATTGGGGGCCACAACCATTCTGTTTCTGGACGACGAGTGACGGTTCGGAGACGGTTGCGACAGACGTTGCCGTGGGCCGTCGGTTACGCTTCACGAGTATGGGATCAGCCTGGTTTCACCGCCCCACTCTTTTCTTGGCAGAACCCTCAAGTTCCCTCATGTCTTCACTGCTGCTGCTGCTGCTGTTGTTGCTGTTCCATATTCTTTCCCTGTCATTCTGCTCAAACGTGCTCTGATAATATTGACTTCTTAATCTCACAGGTAGATCTTTCGTGCACGTTCACGCGACCCGGTGGACGTGCTTGAAGTTGCGTGTTCTCGGAAAAAATTCAAGCAGCGTTTGCACGTGCTTTGGAGAATAAAGTCGGCCCGAAGTCATGGTTCGTATATCCTTCAGATTTTGCGATGAGAATTGCATGGTTCAAGACGAGGGGATGAGTGAGAAGTCGTAGTTCCAGACGATGAATTGGTTGTGCGGGAAGTGTCTGAGCAGGATTTCTGAATTGTTTTCGCTTGTTGTGATGGAATGTTGTTCTAACGGGTTTGATGTTAATCTCGTTTCGGAGGTTGGACATGAAGTAATTGGTTTCTGAATTCGGTTTGCATTGGCGTCCGTGTCTGCTTCGGTGACGACAATATTGCCAACTCCGTGGACGAGTTGCTACCTGCCAAACCCTTTTTAGTGGTTTCGGCCCTGAAGCGTCGGTTTGTAGTGAATACCATGCAGCAAGTGCTTACGTTGTTAGGTGCCAACGGCGGTGGTACCACCGTAAATTGCCGGAGGATCTGCCTCCTTGCTCTTATAGCCATTCTAGTCGCAAGAGGTTCATCTAATTGAGATGTGGCCTCCCATGATTAAAGCCGTTATTAGAGGAAGAACGATATTACATTGAATATGCTGACGCAATTGGGATAAACAAGGCTGCCAATGTTTTGGTACAAGTCCTGATGACGTTTCGAAGGTGAGAGATGACAGGATGGATTATCTTAGGGGCCAGTCACTTTTCTTCAGTAAGTTCTGTAAGAACCTTTTGAAGGTCTTATATTGGTCCATATGTAGTAATATGTAGCAGAAGTCACAGGAAGTGCATGAAACCTGTGGCACGAAGTCAAGGTTCGATGAACCAAGGTCAACATCCTTAGTGGGAGAGGAGGAGGGAGAGAGAGAGAGACGCAAGGCAAAAGCCCAACACCTGTGAGAATTTATGCTTTAGTTGTGAAATCGCTTTTCTGCGCCTCCGGGTACTGGCATAAAGAGGCGCAGCTTGGTTGCCTTAGTATTGTCTTCTTTGACAACTGAGTCCGCAAGTGTACCTCAACAAATTTTCATTTCCTGAATGACTTGTCCTATCATCACGGGGCTTGCCTTCGAGATCGTTGCAATGGATTCGTTCGTGCTCCGATTCGATTACTGACCTTACACTTGGTTGGTGGGTTTTATTACCTACTTTGTCTCTGTTTCATTGAAAAGTTGATGGCTTGTATTGTATAGTATTCACCGGGGGAGACCTTCCATTGTTTTTGAGGATTTAGTACTTGCTGCCACTCGGTAAGCCGATGTTTTCTATTTTAGCCGTTGTTGGCCTGATTTAGACCACATTTAAGACGGTTTAAGATGTGATCCTAGACCATACTAAGAGATCCATGATTCAAGTTGGTTGCCTTTCAAAAGTACGTGCATTAAAGCTTTGAATTACTTTTCCTTCACACGTATATTTCAGCAGCAGCAGCAGCAGGGCGTGCTGTATTTTTCTTCGAAAATCGAAACCTGCATCCGCTGAAGATTATTTTAGCTCTTTCGCAAATAAGTAATGTGCCCTGTTGGGATTTCTACTTGTGCAACGCAGAGTTTCCGCAAAGGCATGGGTACCGCTCGACGGGATAAGAACAAGGGTCGTTCTCAAGGCCTTACTGAAGAGCAGAAACAAGAAATTCGCGAAGCCTTTGACCTCTTTGACACAGATGGCTCTGGTGAGCTTCATCAGGTCCGTCTGGTTGATGAATGGTTCAACAAGGTCAATCTGGTCTTATTGCAAGCGAGCGACGTTCAGCTTATAGGTTGACTGATATGTGTGCGTGCATGCGCCTTTTTGTTATCCAGGGACGATTGATGCGAAAGAACTCAAAGTGGCCATGAGGTGATCACATTCAAGTGTAAATAATACTGTGCATTACGACGCATGCATGAAAAGTCATGAATAATGCTCTGAAGCTTACACTTTCGGGTTGAGAAGTCTCTACGTGTTTCATTTCAATTGATGGCTGATACATTTGTTGCTTGTGGCAGGGCACTTGGATTTGAACCCAAGAAAGAGGTCAGATTTTTGCTTTGGGAAGTTGTGGCTGATGTGGGGTTTAATAACCTGCTCACTCTATAAAGATATCTAATGAAACTGATGTTGGCTTTGGTTGCTTTTTAGTTCGTGTTTTCCATGAACTTTCAGCGACTTCATAAACTGTGGGTAGTTTGTGAAGAAATAAATGCAGTTTATCAAGCATCAAAAACGTTAGTGTTGTTCCATGATTTTTCTGATTGCAGGAAATTAAGAAGATGATTGCCGACATCGACAAAGATGGAAGTGGCACCATTGACTTTGAGGAGTTCTTACAAATGATGACTACAAAAATGGGGGAGCGCGATTCTAAGGAGGAAATTATGAAAGCTTTCCGTCTTTTCGATGATGACGAAACAGTGAGTATCTTGAAGGATTGTACTCCGTATCTGTAAAATAAACAGCTTTGTTAAATCCCTCATTTCCTAGAACCAGAGTAGGTAATTGAAGGCTCATTGTTGTATTCTAATGATCTTAGTAGATCGTTAATTGATCTGGTTAAATCTTTGTGAAAGATAATATTTGAAATCAGAGATATATGGTTTAGCGAAACAAGTAGGCATGGAAACACAGAATCCCTTTCGAGGTAAAGATGATGATGGAAGATTTTAAGTCAACATTTCTTTAAGTAGATGATGTCTTTCAGGGTAAAATATCTTTCAAAAACCTAAAGCGTGTTGCGAAGGAGCTGGGAGAGAACATGACTGATGAAGAGTTGCAGGAGATGATTGATGAAGCTGATCGCGATGGTAATCTTTTGCAACCTTGATTCGTGTATTCGAAGAACAGGATGGAATGCTACCTACATACTTCCCTTTAAACTCTTATGTACAGTTCATTTTAAAATGGCATATAACTGATACGGACATGATACTTTTGAAAGTGTACCACATCATTAGTGCAAGTGAACAATTTCGAAAGAATGATACCAAAATGATTTTTTGAAACATGTGTTATTTGATAGCATGCAAAATGTATTTCATATATATATATATATATATATATCTATATATATATGTGTGTGTGTGTAATTTATTGACTTGATTTTTCGCCTGCTATTATTTGTCGTAAGGATTGAACTTTAAATCTTTCTTTAAAAAGGAAAGTTAGCTTTACTCATGCTTCAGCATTCTAAGATACTTACATGAAATTTGTGAATGTGTTGAATAGGTGATGGTGAAATCAATGAAGAGGAATTTTACAGAATCATGAAAAAAACAAGCCTCTTTTAGTATACAAGTTGAATATGAAAAGAGTTGCATGGTTGTTCTTGCTGAACATAGAGCATGCAAGCATTCAATCACTTGTTAAGAGTCTACAATGTAAAGTCATTTCTTTGGAAGGATAATGTGGATAGTAGTATATTCTCATGGTGGGTAACAATTTAGTAACTGTAATATGTTTTTAATCTTGTAATATGTTTAAAAAGATCAAAGTTTACAAAAATACTCAATTTATCTTTAAAGTTAAGCTTTCACATGATTGATTAAATTTCTATAATATAAGAAAAATAACCAGCAACATAAATAACTCACTCTGTTTTTAAATTTTCTAAAAATAGTATAAATTCAAAAACTTTCTCTTTAAAATATTTTTTACTTCTGATTCTTTATTCTTATTTTAATATTGAATAAAACTATTGGTTTTATAAAATCTGGTTGCAATAAAACTCAAAATTTAAAGACTATTCTTAGTAAATAATAGATTTTAGGTCAATTAAACTTATCTCTTTAAAAATAATTTTAAATAAAAGTTTAAATTAATTGTTAATCAATAATATTCTATTCAAAATCAATTCAAAAATTCAAAAAAAGAAAAGAAAAACACAATGTATACATACATAGAAGTGCAACCTTGTTGATAAATATGTGTATCATGGTCATACCCATGTCATTTTGTTATCACAATGTTTTGATTTCTAGTCCAAAAATTCCCAAACCACAACACGAACACACATCAAACATAGAAGGAAAGCCAAATCTCCACTAATGAGTTTAATGACCATTCATCATCCTAATGTTCTAGTTTAGTTTTAGTTTAGATTTAGTTTTGTTCCATGCTCCATAACACAAGCTGTGAAGGCACCCTAAGTGACCCCACCCTAATAAAAAGTGGGTACCCTACCTAAGAAAAACAAAACAAGGCACAAGGCGGGCCGTGACCTATTTCTGCACGGAGGATACTTACATACGCACACACAAAAATACGTATGAATAAGAATACAAAAACAATAATAATAAAAATCGAGGATATACGTTGTGGAGGTAGTGCAAAATTGCAAAACTATACTTGAAACGGAGAAGCGCAGGCACTAGTATTCCGGCGACGAGTGTTTGTTGCTGCCTGAGCGTGCTTTGCTTTGTGTGTGTATTTGTGTGTGTGAGTGTGTGTGTGTTTTTTGGATTTTGTGTTTTTGTTCCCACCCTTGCTGTTGCATTCTTCCGAGGTTGTGTGTTTTTATTGCTTCTAGTTGTGACTGCACTTGTGCCGCGGTCTTGCTTCTGTTCCTCTTGGAATCCAAGTTTCGGAACGGAGGCCTCATTGTTGTCGTGTTGCTCGTCGTCGTCGTCGTCGTGCTTCTTCTTCCTCCTCCATTGCTGCCTCCATTGCTGCCTACTCTGCTCACTAATCCTATCAATTCGCTCACTCTTAGTGTGAATATGAGAGACAAGTATGCGCACTCGCGTCGTTCTCCTTCGGGCTTCGTGCTCCCTGCTCCTCCACCCGTCGTCGTCGCCCCCAAAGAAGGCGTCGTGGCCTCCAGCTTCCTCGACCAAGATCGAGCCTACTTCCACGCCTACTCTCATGTTGGTATTCACGAAGAGATGATCAAGGTCAAGTCGCTCGCTCTCTCTTTGTAGCGTGTTTTGCCAATCTCGGACCACCGTTTCCTGCGTTCTGTTTTCCGTTTGTCTGCTCGGGGCTGTAGAGAGCATGTTAAATTGTGGATGTGTCTGAAGTGTGCATCCATTTGTCAACTAATGAAGCAGCAATGCATTGCCCTATGCAGGATCGAGCCCGCACAGATGCCTATCGAGATGCAATCTTCTTCCACGCTGATTATATTCGAGACAAGGTTAGTTTACAATATCTATTATCATGTTCCTTATCAAATTACAATTTTTTCTTTTCTTCCTCCATTGTTGTTATTGAACTGTGCGGCTATTGATACTCGGTGCTGGATAAGCAGGTTGTTATGGATGTAGGATGTGGGACAGGCATACTCTCCATTTTTTGTGCTTATGCGGGTGCTCGAAAGGCAGGTTCTCTCGTTATTCTTTTACTTTCGTTTCGTCTCTTTCCCATTATTTGTATTAAAATTCAAACTATGCATAGCTTAACTTTTTCCTGGAAATTTTTCGACATGCTATCGAGACATGGTTTACGTGTAATGTTAGTTTTTTACTAGTAGTGCCCGAGATTGTAGCTCTACACTGCGTTTCTTCTGTTCTCTAGTTATGGTTTTGTATGGGATTATCTCAGAAGCCGTTGATCTCTAACCCTGACTGAATCGCCTCTTTCTTTTCTGCAAGTTTCTCTGATGCCGCGTCATTTTGAACGTCACAAGTTTTTGGCACTTGCGGAATTCAGTTTCTAGCTTCCAGTTCTAATCAAATTACCAGTAATTCCTTTATGTGACCTGGATATTCATGTGAAAAATCACATGGACTGCACGTCGATTTCTGCGTTTAGTTTAGGATTCATCACTTTCTTTTAGTTTTTCATAGTCGGATTGAACTCAAGCTGATCCTCTACATTTCCGAGGTTCCTTTCCATTGTGAAAACTTCATCCTGCAAATTCTCGCATTTTAACATTATCCCAATAACGTTCCGCCTTTCTTCTTGACACTCATTCGAGTATTTGTGTCAACATTCATGATCGAATGATCCTCTGGAAGATGTATCTATTGCAACAGTCAATCGATCACAGAAAAATTCTCCATCCTCATAGTTATCCCTCAGCAAGATAGTTTATCATCCTCATGATGCCATGCTTCAACTTCGGAGTTTTTTTTGTCCTCAATGCAGTCACATTCTCAACATTAGTGCTGGTCGTCTTTGAGCTATCAAGCTGGTTTTTGAGCTCAGGCACCTTTTTCTTTTCAGCCACAAGCTCTTTGTCTATTGGATCAGCTGTATTTTTCAAATCTATGAGCTTCGATTGCATGGATCATGATAGCTAGAATGGAAGCAATATACACACCGAAATCAGGGTGGGCACGTTTGATTAAATCTTGATGTGTTAAATTTCGCTTTTTTATGCGCAGTTATTTCTTGGTTTTCTGTAGCTCGTTGCCTGTTTGAGGAAGACATGATTTGACAACTAATAACATGGGTGGATCTCTTTCAGGTTCATGCCGTGGATGCGAGTGCCATTGCAGTGCAGGTACGATCTTCATTGTCTACACGGAAACTTATGCACGTGTATTTAACTCGCCGTCCTTGATCTCTAGGGTGTCTTTTGTGAGGAGTTCTTAAGTAAGTGTTTGTTGTCTTCTTGAAGCATTTTAGTAATGGAATCATCAACGGCATTGATGAATTTCGTAAACGACGCAACTCTTCGTGGTCGTGTTTCTGATTTTTATTCACCTTTACTATTTATCATACGCTTTTAGATGTAATGAATTGGTTTATATTACTGCTTTCATGCATATTGATTACATCATCATAATACTACGCACCTTTGGGTATTTGTGATGGTTTAGCATGATGCTTCATGTGGGTGCTGTAACTGGCAGAAAGGCCATGAACTACCGTAATTGAGTTTGATACACAGATGCTGCGGTTGGGGGTGCACCGAAACAGAAAATTGAATCACAAAGATTGAACGTATGGATCGTTTGGTTTTATTCTCTTGTTTTCTGTTGATGTTCGTTGGGCTCTCATTGTGCAGGCAAGAGAGGTGGTGAAGGCAAATAATCTTTCCGATGTTATTACAGTTCATCACGGCAGAGTGGAGGTGCAAATCCTTTCCAAATATCATCTTAAGGATGTATCGATCACTTAAAGTGATCGAAGATGTTCTTTGTGTATGCCTTACACATAGTTAGCTCTTTAAATGTACTTCTGTAGATTACATTGAACTGATCAATGAAAGTTGAACATTATGGGTCTTGATCTTCTGAATCTTCGGTTTATTGATGCTTTGCCTTACTGCTAACGTTCTTTGTGGACTTAAGAGTGAAAATTATGTACCTCTGTGTTGTTTCTGTTTATCAGGACTTACAGATATTCGAAGAAGTAGATGTTATCGTATCAGAATGGATGGGTTACATGCTTCTTTACGAGGTAACCATGATTATGCTTAGTGGCTTTGACAGATAGGGTTTTGAGACGAATTGATCTTCAGCTGATGATAACGAATCTCCTCTTAGACATTTAAGCTGCAATTTGGATAGGGTCGGCGGTTTTGGCGTAAGTACTCTTATTTCTGCAGTTTTCTATTCTAATGTTAGGTTGTGATTGCAGAGCATGTTAGGTAGCGTCATATATGCTCGAGATCGATGGTTAAAGCCTGGTGGTCTCATGCTTCCCTCTTTTGCAACTGTATGTGTCTTCAATCCTAATGCGGGTTCAAACCCCTCCTTTCCTTCTGATGTACCTTCTTGCAACTTCTCATCTGTTGCAGTTTTTCGTTGGTTAATAGCCTCATGTTTCTGGTTGAATGATCGCGACCTTCTCTTACGATCGGACTCTTGAGTACCAATTTTAATGATTGATGATGGTATGGTTGCACATTAGAACTGAATTTTTCGAGTTGCAGCAGAATGTCTTAACACCTTGGAGTTGTTCTAGACATTCTGTTCAATCTCTCCATCTGGCATGTCTGCTTTGTGAATGGCACCTATATTACTAACGCCAGATTTGCATTTTTTTTTCTGAGCTCAGCATTTTACATGTGCAGTTGTACATGGCGCCGATCACCAATGCTGAGAAATATTCAGAATGCATCGACTTTTGGCGCAGTGTATATGGCATCGATAGTAAGTATTAAGTCAAGAACCTGTTCGCAGCAGGTCGTGTTATAATGTTTTAGAGTTGCCTATGCATTTTGACGCAGATAATGGTGTCTCGCTTCTAAAAGATTAATGAGCCGTTTGTTGGAATGGTTGCAGTGTCGGCAATGTTGCCTTTGGCGAAGCAGTGTTCTTTTGAGGAGCCATGCATTGAGACAGTTCCAGCTGAGAGTGTTTTATCATGGCCTATAGTGGTTCGAAAACTACGCTCTCTGGATACACTTTATCCTCTTATCTTTTTTCAATAGGCTCTTGTGAATACTCATCATGTCATGCTATTTAACTTGATTCGGTGTTGAATGTGTAGACGTGCATGCCTTATCTCAACCTGATGCTCTTTACTTGACATCTAAAAACTTAGTTGCGCATTGGTTTACAGGTATTGACATGGGCATCTGGTTGCAGATCAAGCAAATCGATTGTAATACAGTGACTGTGAGGGAGCTTGAAACAGTTAAAGCTGACTTCTCTGTGTCCTCCATTATGATGGGTAAGCGCTTCTCACACGTCCATATATTTTCATGTGGTGGGCTAGTTTCGAACCATCCTAAAACATGGGGCTTAAAAAGCGAACTCTTCTTATTTGTTTCTTGGTTGTGTATATCATGTTGGGATGAAATCAGAATCTTTGGGTGATAGGAGCGAAAGAAGGTTTCATAGTCAACAAGCGTCTCGATCCCTGGCTTTGTGAAGTAATAATTATAACAGGAAGGCCAGATTTTAACCGCAAAGTTCATGCAGGAGATGTCTCATACCTACACATGGTTTTGGAGCTTTGTATGTCAGTTCAGGCTCTTGAGATTCACATGCTTGCGCACGACATTTCTTGCTTATTTTATTGGTAATTTGATCTAGTATTTCTTGCAATTGCAGCTCCCTTACATGGATTTTGTATTTGGTTCGACGTGTCGTTTGGAACTCGAGTTCTTCAAGAAACGGATTTGCAATCAGACTCCTCTTTGGATAGTTCTTTTTCTGGTGAAAATGACAATAATGGAAACAGTCGGACCAAGAAGCGAGCAAATCCCAGTGATTGTATTGTTCTCTCTACAGCTCCTGATTCTACCCCAACTCATTGGGCTCAGGTTCGTATTCGTGCAATAAGAATATTGTCGTTTTTGCATGAGATTATCTTAATCTTGAAGGTTAAGTCTCTGTTTTCCTCGTAGTCGAACTTTTCATTTTGTTACTAGTGGTCCTTCGCGGTGCATGGCTGAATCACCGTGCATCCAGTTGTGACTGATTTTCGATATTGTTACAGAACTCAACTCGCCTGGATGATAGAGTTGTTATTTTCTGAAGTGTTACCATATGTCCAACATCTTTTCTTACTAGTTAGAGATTTACAACTAAGAAAGTCTGTCTATTGCTGGTTGGTTCAGACCATTTTGTATGTATATGATCCAATTGAAGTAAAACAAGATCAGGAGATTTCGGGTTCAATCGAACTATCGCAGAGTAAAGAAAATCCGCGGTTTCTTAACATTCACTTGAAGTACAGGTATCTGCCATTTGAAACCTACGCTCATCATGTCGCGTGATGGTTACCTTTGATATCCATGTTTTCAAAGCCTATGGGGACAATGATGGGAAATAACCTTTCTGGTTTAATTGTTTGCAGATCGGGGAATCGAGAATGTGTTAAAGAGTCTGTGATGAGATGACGAGCTTCTATCGTTGCCAGGTGGAAGCACATTGTTGTCAGAAATCTGATTGCCCGAGTCCAATACTCCCTGCATTCTAAACCTGCAGTGATATAGCAGGTGGAGGCACAATTTTTGTTAGAAATCCGACTACCGAGTTGAGCACCTCCACGAATCGTAGCAAGGACCTGAATAGATTGCCGATTAAGACCACATACCACAGAAAATTGATGTCATCAAATTGCACCCACAGGTGCATAACATCCTAGAAAAAACGTAGAGACGACTGCGCTGTTTTCTCTCTTTCATTTTTCATGCTACTTCTATTTTAATTTTGAGATTGGACAGTTCGAAAATCATTTCAAAATCTCCGTTTTTGTCCTCAGCCCCTACAAGAATAAGTGAACTCGATTAGATGGAGCTGATCTCAAACCGGCCTGAACTGTATTGCAGACTTAGAGGACTCCAAACATTGCGGTTTGCAACATAACTTAAGGTTTGAAAAGTCAAGTGAAAACACATCAGAACCACCACTGTTACCGACACAAGCGCTCGATTAAGCTTCTCGCAAGTTCATAGTGGCCTTGTGGGATAATATGTGAATTATTCGAGATGAGAGTGCTAATTTAGAATAGCACAATTCCAGATAATATGCATTAAAGTGTGAATCTTAATTAGTGACAATTGAACAAGCTCAAGTTTCTGTAAGGAAAGGTAAGTTGAATTGACATTTATTTATGGATCTTTAACTAGAATCCATAAGCTTCACTTACATGGCATTTGTAAATTGGTGAAAAAATTAAATGTTATTGTGAAGAGAAAAATGATTGAAATTTTATATCCTTTGATTGTTTGCTAGCATTGTACTAGAATGTATCATCCAAAAATATAAATAAGTGAAAACAAGATTATACAAGAAATAGATTCCAACATATTGAATACACAAGTTGAAACTACTTTTATATAATTATTATTTTTATTTAAAAATCTACATATAATACATGGCAAGGTTTGCTTATGTGTAATTACAAAACTAATAACCTTTAAAGAAAGGAGAATGATAAAGTGATCCAAATTTTTACTAAAGCAATCCACTCTATCTTAAGCATCATTGCATTGTTGGAGCCTCCATCCCTATTCCTAACTATTCCCCATTTCCAACTATTGCTAGGGATGGGGGTAGGGGGTTGGAAATATTGGGAACAAGGGTGACAATTGGGAACATGGCATGTGGGTCAATTTAGTAAAAAATTAGATTGCTTTATCATTTTGCTAAAGATATACTTAGAATTTTTTATTGTTTTTTAATTTTACGTTTAAAGATTTAGGATGTGCTCATGAAGCTATATTAAAAAACAAAAAAATTATGTATAAGAAAGTTTTTGGTCTCATTCTATAGTCACATAGAAAAGGTGAATTTGTTATAGTCCAATTAAACATGAAAAAATTACTATCAAAATATTTATTTTATAATATAATTAAATCTTTTATCTTTCTAAAATAGATGTAAAATTGCTGAATTATTTCTCTTTAATATTTTTGTAGATTCCAATTAATTAATCAAAACACTATGTATTCTTGTATTTTGATGTTTGTATCTAAAAATTAAAAAAAAAAAAAAAAAAAAACCAATTGTCTCTTTTTTGTATATTTTGATAAATATAGGTATTACATATTAGATTATTTTAGGTACATTATTTTTTACCATATAAAGATATAAGAATAAGAACAAGTAGTTTATAGACATGGATTTTACTATCATAATTTTTTTGTTGCATAATTTGTCAAAATTATGTAAAATATTATCTATACTTTCAATACCAATACTTATATTTAAAAATACTGATGATTTTCATAATAAAGGAAAATATTCTCTATATATTGCAAAAATAATATATTTACATAATAAACAAAAAATGATAATTAATACTTGATTTTTTCAACTTTAATTATTAGTGCAATAAATGTATGATTTAATGTTATTAAAGAAAAATAATTTAAGTTTTAAAAATAAAGATTTAAAATAAATTAATTACATAAAAAAAACCATATATATAAACATATATACTCAATGCATTTTTAATAGTAAAATAGAAAACAAAGACAAATCTAGGATGACATAAACTACCTCTAAAAACTCTTGTGTTTATATAATCTTATTATAAATAGAGTGAACAACTTGATCTAAAGTTTTTACAATTATCATTGCCATACCAATTCAAGCGCAAAAGACTTAAAAAGTACATTTTTATTCAAATATCTATAGTTACAATTGGAAGTAAAAATTCCAATTTAGACAAAAGAATTGGCAATAATAAAGCATTATATCTAAAAATATATATATTTTTTTATTAATATATAGATAAAGACCTATAAAAAATATAAATATATATAAAAATATATAAAAATATATGAAAATTTAAAAAATAATAATTAGAATAATAATATAATTAAGATATATTTTTATTACACTATAGTTGTGATGCATGTTGACAACTTTTTGTTATTATAACTTTAGTAAAAATAAAAATAAAAATAAAAATATAAACATAAATATTAATATATATATATATATATAAACTTACTAAAATTATATCTCAATTTTGTTAAAGCTACCTTTCTTTGGCTATGTTATGTTTATTTCAATATAATATCACTTCATACTATGTAATTGTCAAGGACAAGAACTCGATGAAAAAACAATTCAGACAAGTAAGCCTTCACTCAAAGAAAAGTAACAAAATATGAATAATAAGTATGTATATTGAAAAGAGAAACTAGAATGGCTATTGCCAAAAGACAAGAAAAACTAGAGACCCTTGAAACTAGACTAGAAGCAAGAAAGGAGTTGACAAGAGTGAAGAAGCCTTCACTCTTGTCTCTATATATACTATCTAATTAGGGGCTACGTGGCGACGTTCTATAGGACCTCCAATATGTGTTGACTTTGTAGGACACATGCCTTGACTTACAAGGCAAGTTTTTCTACGTGTGGGCCACATAGTTAGCTTGATCTTCAAGCTAACAACATGTGTGGCACATGGCCAACTTGTTGACCACGTTTCTAATCCAAAAAGTCAATTAAAGACACCTATGAAGTCAAAGCAGCATCTAGGAAGTTTCTAGGAAGCTTCTATATTAAATATTATAGAATTAACTTACTTTTATCTACTTTTACTTACTTCTACCTATTTCTATATGTAATTATTAGCTTACATGATTATGGCCGTGACATTACCCCCCCTTCTAGAGACGAGTTCCACGAGGAGCGGTCAACATATGTTGAGGAAATCTATGATGCGACGAATTATATTTGCCACATACTCTGATCTCTGTTCTCTTCGAAGATGATTGATAGGGCCTCTCAACCATCGGTAGTGTCCCATACCAGGGCGGGAAGACCACCCAGTTATTTGATCATTGTTGAGGCCTTCGTAACTTCCTTCGAATAGAATATTCGGAACACCATCAGGAGTTGTTCCTACCTCTAGCAAAATCACCAAACATCGAGAGTCCCTTCCCAAATCGTGATACCAAACGCGTTGTATCTCACCATCTATTCGACGAAAAACATGTCGTTCTTGAAGATCTTCATCTCGATTGCGTCGTCTTGAAGGTTGTGACAATCGTAATGTCTCGTCCGGCAGGTCAGCAAACGAAGGTTCTTGAGTTGAATCCGCTGGTTGTTGGCTCTCCATCTAATTAGCGTCACAAATGCAAAGAAGTTACAAACAAGGATAGGAAATTGAATGTTATCTTGCCTCAATCTTGTCTCTTTTATAAGAGAGATTTTCATCTTGGTTTTGATGGATGTCGTTGATGAAAAACTTTGACTTTAGCTGATGCATTTCCTAGATTCCTGGATGGCTCCCATGTGCATTCACTAATATCATATCCGCGCCAATGAACAACATATTCCAGCTTATTTCGGCGCCGCCTTGAGTCTAATATCTCTTCCACCTCAAATTCTTCATTATTATCTACTTCTATAGGAGGCGGTGGCATTTGTCTTCTTCTTTGTATATCCACTGTCTTATATGGTTCAAGAAGAGACACGTGGAATACATGATGGATCTTCATTGACTCCGGTAGATGTAACCGATATGCAACTGGGTTGATTTGTTCAGAAACAGAAAAGTGGCCAAGCCTACGATAGTCCAACTTGTCACAAGGTCGAGTAGTCTTGATATTGCGACGAAGTAGCCATACCTTATCACCCACGTTGAGTTGTGGTTGCTCCTTACGATATAGATCTACGTTTATCTTTTGTCATTCTTGAGCTTCCTTCAATTGCGTCTTCATTATTGCATGTAACTCTGACAACTGATTTGCCATATCTTCTGCTGCAGGATTATCAACTTTTGAAAAATCAAAAGTATCAAGTCGTGGATGATAGCCATAATTGGCAAAGAAAGGTGTTTGTTACGTGGAAGAATGTACCGTATTATTATAAGCAAATTCTGCCAATGGCAGAAGGGTTGTCCAATCATCTTGTTGGTAGTTGATAGTACACCTTAAATATTGCTCTAAGACTTGGTTTACGCGCTCTATTTGTCCATCAGTTTGAGGATGGAAAGCCAAAGATAGCTTTATGTCCACTTTTAAAATCTTGAAAAGGGTCCTCCAAAATCTTGACACAAATTGAGTTTCCCTATCCGATATGATATCTTTAGGTAATCCATGATAGCGATAGATATTATCAATGAAAAGCTTAGCTGTTTCTTCACCTGAGATAGATTTTGTACATGGCACAAAATGTGCCATCTTGGTGAAACAATCTACTATCACAAATATAGAATCATAAGATCTTGAGCTTGAAAGATCTATGATGAAATCCATAGAAACAGAAGACCATTGTTGTTCTGGTATAGATAATGGCTGAAGAAGTCCGTAAGGTCGATGACGAGGAATTTTTGATCTTGAACAAATATCACATGATTGTACAAAGTCTTTGACTGACTTCCACATTTGTGGCCACCAAAAATCTCTTGATATGAGTTCCAAAGTCTTATTATATCCAAAGTGCCCTGCTGTTGGAAAGTCATGACGTGCTTGAAGAACACGTAAACGTGTTTCTCCTTCTGGAACATATAGGCATCCTTCAAAATATAATAGATTATTCTTGAACTCAAACTTAGAAGGATCATGAGACTTGGAAGAATTATTCTCGATATCATAAACAAGAGGGTCTGAGGACATATTGGACTGGATTTGCTTGAGAAAAGTTGAATCAACAGTCAATGTTGATTTCATTGCTAGGAGATGAAATTGCTCCGGTTTCAAGAGGACCGTTCTTTGTTGCTCAAAAGGTGCATCTCCTTCTTTTGGTGCAAAATAAGAATGTCTAGATAGGGCAACAGACAAACCTTGTTGTTTTCCTGGCCGATAAGTGATAATGAACTCGAATCTTGACAAAGACATACTCCAACGAGCTTGACGACGATTCAACATGTGTGCTGACATGAAATACTCGAGGTTCTTGTGATCTGTATACACAATGACTAGACTAGAAGCGCCTTCTAGATAATGACGCCATTCTTGAAAGGAATCCACGATCGCAAGAAGTTTTTTATCGTGGATCTCATAATTGATCTCGGCTGTTGAGAATTTTCTTGAATGAAAAGCTATCAGATGAAGTTTATCATCTGTTCCCATTTGTGATAAAACTACACCCAAGGCAAAATCTGATGCATCTAATTCCATATAAAATGCCTCGGAAAAGTCAACACGATATAAGACTGGTACAAAGACAAACGATGTCTTCAAGGCTTCAAATGCTGCTTCCGCTTCTTGATTCCA